AATAATAATGAAGCAGTAATTGCATCCAGGTGGGATCGCACAGATGTTTGCTGGGCAAGCTTCATAATTGGTGATCAAAATAGACCAATTGCTCTTTATTCAAAATCCAAGCTTTACATTCATTAAAAAGAGAAAAAAAAAATAAAAAATCCAAGCTCAATGGTGCATATGATTATAAAATCCAAAAAGGTACAGGACATTTAAAAACCTCTTCACATACATCCAATTCTTTTCCATAATTGATTATCATGTCCTAGTATAGTGATCGATTTTTTTTTTTATCTTGATTGCATAATAAGAAATAATTATCTTTTATCTTTTATCTCACCCCATTTGCATATCATGTGATTCAAAATTAAGATCTCTTACATTTAGTAAAAGAAGATGATCACTGAATTATTTAAATTATTCACAGTAATCAAAATTTTTGATCAAATGAGATAATTTTTTATGGGTTACGTCTTTAAATCCCATGAATTTTTTTTTTCTCAAATTATCCTATTAAAAAAGAAAAGAATTCTTTTCCGTGAGCCATTATAGATCCAATTTAAAGTACATAACATTTACAACCGCTATTCATACATTTTACTATTTGGTTGGAAATCACATGAAAAAAAAAATGATAAAGTCCAAATTACAACGAATCACGTAAAATAGAAGGTTTCTCTTCAAAGGAAAAAAAAAAGTGATTGACATTTTAACTCCCAACACATTCCTTGTCTCGTGATTCTGATCATTACTAAATATATGATCCTTAAATAATACACTTAATGACATTTCGCTCTCAAAAAATTATATCAATTTTTTTATCTTAAAATGTATAATAAAAAATAACTCTTGATCTATTCTATTTGTAAGGTAATGCAGTGAAATGATCTTAATCAAGTCCCACTATTAATTTCTCTCTCTTACACAAGCATAGATGAAATGTATTATAAACAAGATCACCCCCAACAAACCACTTAACCAAATTGTAATACAAGCTTCTACAAAAAAAAAATAATAATAATAATAATTGTAATGCAAGCTAAGAGAGACAATAGTTATTAGGCGTTAGGTAGATTTGAACATTAATTTGAATAACCATACTAACTATTACTTCCTATCCCTTTTTCTTATCATACTTTTTGCTTAGCACTAATACAAAGAAAATTAAAAAAATTTATAAAAACACAATTATTACTAATTAAAATTTAATATTTTCCATGATTAGGAAGTTGAGATGTGTTATTTTTAAGAATGGAGTAATTATTAATAGGGGTAAAATTTTTAAAAAATAAGACTTTAATACTAGCTATGATAAAAAATAAAATGGAGAAGCAAATTGAACTATTTTCATTTTAAAAATATGATAAGTAAAATAAACCCAGATAATATAACAAACCTTAGACCTTGAAGGAAAGACAATGTTATGTTATATGTTAGGATATTAGAAGAAGGATTCGACTCGAGCACTTTAGACAGACAAGAAAGAAGCATTTCTACCATCCGAACTAGTTACAAGCTCAAGTGCAAGGTAAAGGTAAATTTTTAATGAATTAGAGTGTAATACATAGGGAAATTGACATGGTTGTAATGACTAATATAATGAATGTGCCACATGGCAAGCATCGGGTGGATAAAGGATGCATATGATTGGTGGTCCCTTGATGAGGGCACTCTTAAATTCTTACCATTACTTTCCCATGCCACACCAAGTTGTCATCCACCATCTTTTTTTATCTGCAATCATAGCAAAGGGACCCTTCCCTCCAATCTCCGGCACAAAAAATCATTCAAACATATATTTTCTTTCCAATTACCCAATACCCCTGGTTTTTGTTGTACTCTTATTCCATTCAAAAGAACCAAACGTATTAATTTCTCAATGCCCAAACAAAAGCTTCCAGCTTTGATCGTATGCAAAGCTGGCACCAGCTCTCTCCTTTTGGCCCCTTTTCACGCGTACCCCACTCCACCCGATCCTCCATGGAACACCTCTTCAATTCCTCATCTATAAATTCCTCTCCTTTGAAACCAAACAAAAACATCCCAAAAATTTTCTTTCCCTACCCTTCACTCATTGATAAGATAACGACAAAACAAGAGATGGGTTCTCCTTCTAATGGGTTTTCTGTGTTTGTATTGGTCATCAGCTCCATGGCAGCTGTTGCCTTTGCCACCAGCGACTTCTACCAAGACTTCGACCTTTCTTGGGGTGACAACAGGGCTAAGATATTCAACGGAGGGAAGCTTCTGTCTTTGTCCCTAGACAGGGTTTCTGGGTCTGGCTTCCAGTCCAAGAAAGAGTATTTGTTTGGGAGGATCGATATGCAGCTCAAGCTTGTTGCTGGAAACTCTGCCGGTACCGTCACTGCCTACTATGTAAGTATAACATACATAAAACACTAACACAAACACGCCCTTATGCCTGTTCTTTTCATATGCAATATGTGTTGGAATATTAACTATTCATTCACGAGAACGATAATTGTTCTTGTTTGACATATATGCCACCATTTAAAAAAAGTCACAAATGTGGTTAACACACACCCCATTCAAATCTTGTGACTTTTCTCTCTCTCTCTCTCTCTCTCTCTCTCTCTCGTAGGGCCACCTCCTTTTATTCCGTCTCTCTCTATCTCTTGTAGGGCCACCTCCTTTTATTCCCTCTTCCCTTTGTTTCTTACTTTATCAGTTTTGTCCATTGAAAAGCTAACAAATAATTTTGCAGCTGTCGTCTCAAGGGCCAACACATGATGAGATAGATTTCGAGTTCCTAGGGAATGTGACCGGAGAACCTTACATTCTGCACACCAATGTCTACACTCAGGGCAAGGGCAACCGGGAACAACAATTCTACCTTTGGTTCGACCCTACTAGAAACTTCCACACATACTCCGTCATCTGGAAACCCCAGCACATCATGTAAGAAAAGAAAAAAAAGTTAAAACTCATCTTCTTAATTTACATTAAAAAAACGTTCTAACCCTGTATCTACTTGTCTTAATATATCAGTTTCTTGGTGGATAATACTCCCGTGAGAGTGTTCAAGAACGCTGAGTCGATTGGTGTGCCATTTCCCAAGAACCAGCGCATGAGGATTTACTCAAGCCTCTGGAACGCTGATGACTGGGCTACAAGAGGTGGGTTGGTCAAGACAGATTGGACAAAGGCACCATTTACTGCATATTACAGGAACTTCAACTTCGCCCCGGCTACTACAGGCTCCTCAAGCTCTTCCTCCGGCAGTTCATGGGAGAATGCGGAGCTAGACGCCACCAGCAGGAGGAGATTGAGGTGGGTTCAGAAGTATTTCATGATCTACAATTACTGTACCGACTTGAAGCGCTTCCCTCAAGGCTTCCCCCCTGAGTGCAGACGCTCCAGATTCTGAATGGATTTTGTGGTTTAAAATTCTTTTTCGAACTTCGTTTGTTTTAAGTTCCACTCTCCTTGAAGATCTTGAGTTGCGTTTTTTTATGTGTTTTTTTTTTTTTTACCCTCTTGTATATCTTGTTTTAAATAATAAAATTTATTTTGAATTCTGTGAAGAGGACAATTTGACCATTTGAAATATTTTGTTCCGCAATACCATTTAATGCCACTCGATCAGATACCGCGCAACATGGTACAATAAATTCAATTTAAATAATAATAAATAAAACAAAAATTAAAATGAAAATTTAAAATTAATAATGTAATATAAATTATAATATTTAAAATATTTAAAGTTAAAATTTACATTATTTAATTATTAATTTTTTTTATAATTTATGATATTATATATATTAATTAATTTAATAATATAATATAACTCATATTATTAATTTTAAACTGTTGTCTTTCCTACTATTAACCTTCCATATAATATAGGAGAAAAAAATTAATCTAAAATTTAAGTTCGACGGTAACCCAAAAGCCCAAACGCATCGAAGCCTCCACCCCATTTCCCACATAGAAGGAAACCTTAATAATCCTTGCTCAAAAAGTAGTAGCATTATTAGTAAGAGAGATTATTTCACTTATTCAATACGCAAATCATTATAAATTCAATAATTTTAAATAAATGACACTTAGGTTTTCGGGTCCAGTGACGTCAAGTCATTTATAAGTGCAATCTCCCACCTCAGTACAATAGTTCAAATTCGATCTCTTATATATTTGTTCAAAAAAAAAAATTTAAAATAAATAACACATTTTTAACCAAATATAAGAGTTAAATTTAGTGTAATATGCAAAAATTGATTACAATTCCAACTGATTGCTATATTATAAAAAAAACATATAGGCATCTGGATCTCATAACCCTATGATTTTATGTTCGTTAAAAGTACATCCCCTAATTTAAAGATTGGAGTTTGAATTTCTCCACCTTTAATAAAATTCGTATCAGAAAAATAAAAAAACATATAACATCCTCAGACGGCCGACAAAGCTTTAGTTTAATTCAACGATTATAATCAAGGACGTCGTGCAAAATCTGTGAGAAATCTCATGTTAAAATCATACACACTTATAAACATTAAAAAGACACTTTATGACTTTCTTTATACCTAAATATATATATGCTTAACATCTAACATTAAGTGACTTAATGATCACT